TATAAGTTTGAGGACCATTTAAGTAAATAACTCAAACAATAATGATTTTAACTAATTGTGACAAAACAGAAATGCTCTTTTTGTCAACTACTTGCATATCAATACCTCCAATCTTGTGTTCGAATCTCTTGCACCTGAAATCCTATGTTTGAATCCCTACATTGACCTTCCGTTTCAATGAGGGAAAATAACTCGGAATTTAGCTAAAAGTCAGGAATTTAAAAGGAGAAATTGACAATTCCGTTGTTTGGCAACTTAAGCACGGAATTTATCAAATGATGCGTGGAAAAAATCGTGGAAATTGAGGCATCAAATTCCTGAGTTTAACCACCAAAATATGGGTCATTTCATAGTGCCATTTACAAAATTCGACATACATAAATCCAAACACTGAAATCTTTAATTGCCGGAAACTGAAATCTTCAATTGTCGGAAATTGAAATTATGGAAATCTAAATTCTGTCATTTTAGAATTTTATGTAATTTTCAATTCCTGTGTTGTTACTTGTGAGAGAATTACTTGTGAGATAAAAAATAAATAAATAAACTCATGTCTTTAAAATTAAAGTTAACTCCAACTTACATTAATTTACCTCCAACCATATAAACTATGGAGGACATAATCAACAAAATACAGATAAGCTACCTAAAATCATGGATGACTATATCATACTTATCATACATACAAATTACAATTACAATTTTGATTATTATATATTAATGGTTTCTTGAGCTCCTAGCCTTGATCAGGAGTTGTAGGTATTTCTGGGTTCTGGTAAACAGCAACAGAAACAGGTGTTCCTTGTTCACTGAAGAAAGGTGAGGCTGGACCTGTGTGGTTTGAGAGGCTTAAGGGACTTGGTTGGCCAATGCTGGAGGAGACTGGTGAGGCCTCCACAACATGACCCGAATTCTTGTTTCTGAAAGTGTGGGAGGAGAGGTCTCTTTGGAGAAAGATTCTAAGCATGACACCAATTCTTTTCCATACAGAGGTGCCTCTTGTCATTAGGATGTGTCTGTGCATAAAAAGGAAAGTGGCTACAGATATCATAAGAGCTGAGGATGAAGCCAACCCAGCAATGAGTAAGAGGCCCCAGAAGCTATTCAGGCCCAGACTTTTGGAATCAGAGAATGGTGATTTTGTATTTTCACAAGTGGCTTGTTTTCCAAACCATTTGTTGTCAATCTCCTTCATCTCGTCTCCATCGGTCATGTTTAGAATCGCCCTTGAAACATCAGGTACAAGAGCCGAACCTTTGGGGAAGACCTATATATACACACAGAAGATGTTCTTATATTGTCAGACTCTGAATCAATATGATTGATTAAGTGCTAAAAATGTGTGCTTTTGATTTATAGACTTGTGATTGTGGTTGTGGTTGTGTGTGTGAGAAAGAGAGGTAGCTCTTACAAAGGCAAAGCCATCAGTCTTAAATATTGGTCCAATGATGGTGTATTTGGAGCAATACTTTGCAATAAAAAGCCTCAAGTTTGGGGTTTCATCAACAGCAGCAGCAATGCCACCTTTTGCACTCCCTTTTGTCAAAAGGTCATCACATTCTTCTGGAGATTGATAAGCCTTAATCTTCAAATCATCAAAACCTTGTTTCAACAAAAGTTGGTAGACAAAAGAGCCCTTCGGGTAGCCCACACTCTCCTTGTTCTTTAGAAGCTGGTTTAAATCGGTAAAAGATGGCTGGAGCTCTTGGATTGTTAAGAGTGAAGTCAGACTAGCTGTGTAACTTTGAGTGAGTATGAGCACAACAAATACCCACACTATCACCACAAATCTAGCCAAGTTGCTAACCACTGCCTCCCCTGTAAATTAATTGAAGTGAAAAAAAATGATGAATGATAAAACAAACAATTGGTAATTCAACATATGCTTCTTAATAAGGGTACTATGATATTACTTACTGTGTGCAAAAACCATGGTTGAGAAGGAGAACCACAAGCCTGTTCCGACTTGATTCGAGAGAGGGCCGCGAAAATCTTCATTGATCCGATGTTCAAGAACCCAAATCACAAAACCAATGAAGATGAAAAAGCAAGAACTCGTAAGCCAGAGGTCCCATGTCAAAGGCTTCAAGAAAACCCATGCATTCTGGCTCTTGCTATCTTTTGTTAGAACTACCATTACTACCCCTGATTCCGTGTATGGCAAGGTAAAGTCCACATACAAGGACCTGTTCTCTCTGATTGTTGTGGCTGCGGCCAAAGCATCAAAGTTCTGTCAACAAATCAAAGATGTCAACAAATATTAAAGATGTCAACATTTCAATTTTGATCAGAAAATTAGGAATTCGAATTTCAATCTTGAAAAAATTAAATGAGGCTGAAATGATTTTACCCCAAGATAAACTTGATCCACCAACTGATTGTAAGTGCCAGCACTTGTACCATCAGGCTTTGCAAAGGGAATGAAGTCATAAGTTACAGCATATGGTAATTTTTCCATGACAGCATTGAAGATGTCAATGCAGTAGCCAGAAACAAGTGTTTTGTTGGTACTAGGATCACGTACCACCTTAACAAACTCAGGAGAGCCAATCTTCACAGGAACTCCCACTCTCAACTTTTTTTCGTCTGTCGGGATCTCCCAACCCTTGGGAACTGAGGTGGAATCTCCTGGCCATATGATGGGTCCCATGTTGGATTTTGAAGTTGAATATGTTCTGGTTGTGTTTGTTGAGTTCATGGATTTTTTCAAAAGTCCACTCTCTGGTGTCCAGAACCCAATTTCTCTTGCCCCATTGCCATTCACATTGACTATTTCAAAGACTGGAGATTGTAGTTGCCCATTGACAAAACTGAAGTCTCCTGCAAGGCCTTTAAACTTGGTGTTTGATAAGGATTGGAAAAGTTTCGGGCCGTTTTCAGATACCCCGAAAGTCAGAAGATCAGTTGATGAGTTCATGGAAGCATTTGTGTTTTGGAAGCTAGAGATTCTGCCAGTCCGAGTCCCATCATTCTCAACTGCCATGGCTAATGCAAAAGCAGCATCATAAGCCCAGAGAGCAAAAACATCCAATTCTACATCAATGATGGTTGGATTTTGCTGTTGGAATTGCGTTTTCCATCGAACTCTAAAATCGATAAGCTCTTCTGTTTTCGGCACACTAGTCCTCACACCCAATACACCTTGCATTGACTTGATAACTGAAGCATCAGTCGAACTTACAAGATTGGTTAACCCATTGGTCATGATCCAAACATAGCCTTCTTTCATCATTCCAATCTCTTGTGCTTTGGCAAAAAGCCTAGCCCCAAGAGACGGCGACATGTGCACAATGAAGACCCTAGTTTGCATAGTCATTAACTTGTAAAGCGCTGCTGTAAGTTGGTCGTCAGTGGCCATTGGATGTATGGCACAACGGTAGGGGACACGAGCTTGAACGTCAAGCAAAGCATCGACTAAGGATGGTACAACTCCCTCACCAAACCCGTTGTCTACATAGATGGGCACAGCTCTTCTCCACCCAAAGGCTTGAACAATAGCACTTATGGCTTTGACTTGAGAGGAATCATTCTGTGCAGCTCGGAAAAAGTATGAACTTCGAATGGAAGTGAGGGAAGGACTCGTTGCTGAAAATGAGATTATGGGAACCTTGGCTTTGTCTCCAAGATCAATTACAAAGTTGGCTTGCATTGATGATGTAGGTCCTATGATTGCTTGCACTTGAACATTCTTGATCAGGTCTAAAGCTGTGTTTCAATAGAAAACAGAAACAAAAGGCAGAGGAAGTTAAGATAATCACCTCTTTCTCAGTAGAAAACAGAAGAAAAGGCAGAGAAAGATCAAATGAAACCCAAAAGGAGAAAAAGAGAGAGACACCTGCGGCAGCTGCATCTACAACATCTTCTCTAGGGTCCCTGATGCTCAAGGCAAGCCTAGTTGTGGAGGAACCATGGGAGGCATAGAAATCTGAGAGGGCCATTTTGATGCAGCTCAACCAAACTTTTCCGGTTAGTGAATTGAGGTCATCAAGAACCACGCCAACATTCACTGGGATTACTGTTCTGTTATGTGCCATGACCAAGGAAAAATTAATGCTCAAAGAAAGAAGGAAGAAGAAAGAACCAAAGAGGTTGGTTGGTTTCCTCTTCTTCATGTTTGTATCTGTTTTGCAAGCTTCGATAATGTCATTCATTTGGAAGAAATTTTTATATAGTAGGATGGGTGACCGGATTCCTTGCTCGAAATCTCTGATTCTAACAGACGCTAAATCTTGGTGTAAGGATTTACATGATTGATTGTTTCAAACATTTTCTTATTATTCTCGATGCTCAAAAAGTAATAGTTTGTCAAGTTTGTCAACAGGCTAAACGAACTCAATCCTCTGCATGTTCTGTTTACCTTGACCCAATCAAAGTACAAATTGAAATACAATACCGTAGTCAGAGAGATGTGGTATAAAATACTCCATTCAAGCATCTAGTAGCATCAAACTGAAGCTGACATTTCGCTTAAACTATGAAGCCAGTTGGCCTGGCTCCTCTTGTAACATGAAGATCCCCCATACCCCATCAAGAACCTTGTGGGAGGGTATATGATGATGTTGACTTAGGCTTCAATCAAGTATTTGCCGTAACGGTCACAATTGTTTTTCTTTCTTCTTTTTTTCGACCAACCAATCCAGAAACTTGTCCAATTTTTTTAATTTTGGTCAATGTTTTTATAGTAAACTGCTTTATTGTTCTATTCTGTAAGTTTTCTTTCCAACTTTCTAGCTTTGTTCCGTGGTCTTCACAGTTTGAGAGACAGCGAATCATTTTTTTTTTTTTTTTAAATGCAAGCATTAATTTGCATATTTGGAGTAAGCCCTCCCCAACTAATTAGGAACGTGGGTAAGCCTTCCCCAACTAATTAGGAACGTGGGTACAAAATCTGGTCAAATTAATTACCAAGTGTTCCCCAGCAAGAGAACTTTCTAGAAGACAATTACTAAACTAATCACCTAGTAGTAGCCATTCAGTTTCTTCAAGTAGCACATGTGACAATCAAATAATCGGATATGCAGTCTTTTTACTGTATAATTCCATCGATGTACAACTTAACTACTTCATATCAAGAAATATATCTTCAGTCTGAAAAAATTGAAAGTGCATACATAAAAGCGGAAGAAAGAGTGATTGAGCATCACCTAGTCATCTAGCACCATTGCTATTAGTTATAACCCCACACAAGCTGAAAATGGAATAACAGAAATACAATTCAAATCATTCTTCTCTTGATGCAGGATCCAACCCGGTTGAAGGGCTGTCAGCGAAATATTCTTGGTGCTTCACATTAACACCGTACTGCTCAATTAAGAATAACAAGAGGAGTATATTAATACAGCGAAAGTTAACATAAGAAGAGTAAGTAAAAACAAAACCCGCTTGACATTGCACACAAATTATAGGTGGATTCTAGAGAATCTCAATTAGAGACCAGGCCATTCAGCAAACATTTGGTTAGTCCAAAACTGACCAGAACCTTTATCAATATTAGATAATTCCATTGATTCCAGACTTATGCAAACATACGACTCAAATAACTAAAATCTTGGTTACCTCACGTAACGCCCTTGAAAGGTCTTCCATCGTCAATATGAGGCGCTTATCCTGTTTCAAAATCAAAGTTAAGTTAAGACTAGCCATAATTAAGCAGAATATAAAACACAGCTCACCGGGAAAACTATTAGAGTACCTTTTGTTGTTTGTCCCTTTTGTCTTTGACTACAGAAGCTTGTCTTGCTTTGCATTGCCTGTTAAGAGGCATGAGCATGTAAATATCTTTTCCACTAGTAATAGCTTAGACACTGGCTAACTACAAGTGCAACAACCAAGTTGTGTAGCTAAATAATTTTGGACCAACAACAGAACATATGAGTGTAGTTACATATTTCTCGTCTAACATTTGAGAGATCAAAAATTTAATAGTCTTCAATTATATATCCTAACTCAGGAAAAAAATTTAGTCTTTACACATGTGCCTCCCTGTGAACTTGTGTCATGAACCAATAGGAGAAAAATTTAGTGGCTTACTGAAGAGCATCAGTTGCAACCTCAGAAACAAACTTTTGTGTGGCAACAGCTACCAGCCTAATTCTGCGAATAGAGTGAAAAAAAATATATATATATTCAACATACTTATATGCAGAAAAATACATCCAATTCATGTTTCAAAATATAAATAAATTTAGTAGCATTTTGCCACTGTCGGCTCAAAAGAAAGTATATATATATTCAACATACTTAGATGCAGAAAAATACATCCAATTCATGTTTCAAAATATAAATAAATTTAGTAGCATTTTGCCACTGTCGGCTCAAAAGAAAGTTACAACAAAAGCTCCTCTACAACAATGATTGTAATCTAAGTCAAAAGGCATAAAATTTTAAGCATCAAACAGAAAACAGTAACTTCTTCTTAACATCCATTTAGCACAAATCTGAAACAGCTAATGGGAATAAAAGCCAGAAAGCAAAAGAGAAGATAGATACCCAAAATGAAAGAAGGAAAAGATCCCAGATAAAAAAAGAGCGAGTACTACCATACACTTAACAGACTCTGCCTACGCCTAAATGCCTGTCCTTCACAAGCCCATACAACTTTACCCAGACTAGTCAAACCTTGATTAGCAAGTTTCGTGTACTTGAACAATCAATAAACAAAAAAGCATATTCAATTTTCTATTTCACTGCCACAGCACTAAATTAACCAACAAATAGTGAGAAATTTCAAGCTCTAGGTATATGCTCGCTCCGAAAATGGTTGAAGATGAATTGATTTAAACTAAACAAATCAAAAGGCAGGCCCTTCTCTGCAGCAGGAAAATAAGTAAAATCTTGACTAAGCCTAAACCTAACAGATACTGATGGCTCAGCTTAGCTCATCGTAAAATCTTCCCCAAAAATTGGAAATTAAAAGCAAAATTAACTTAAACAGAAAACAAGAAAAAGTACCTACAATCGAACGTCGGGGCATTGAAAGCCGCTTTTGGCCAAGTAGTGCTCCACAAGTTCGTCGGGTATCTGAAAGACGAAAAATCACGATTTGGATTTGATTTGATATGATCGGAATTTGAATGAAATGAAATTGATGGAATTAAGTATTACAGTGGGGGTGTAGTCCATTAAGGAAGCAAGAAATTCGGTGAGGGCCGCGTCGTCATCGTGCCTGCTGCCTTCGCTCGATTGCTGGTTCTGGTTCTGGTTCTGGTTTTGGTTATGGTTCATCTTCTCTCTCTCAGAAATACGATCTCGGTTTGAGACTCGCGCTGTGCTTTGCAGATTTATCGACTTAATTTTTGCTTTGAAGTATTTTTATTTATTTTCACCCGGGTCGGGTTATATCTTTTTCCCGAATTCATTTAGGCCCATTAGAGTTTTGGGCCTACAACCAATGGCCCAAATAGCGATTAAGCACTAATACCACCAAGCAACTCTTTGAAAGAACACAACTGCCATTTTAATCTCAGGTTGCAAGGGACCTTGATATTCATTGAAACATAAGGGATGAAAAAGTCAGTGTCATCCCCTTCCAGTCAAACTTTTAACAGAACAACTTGGGAAGAATTATTGAACTATAGTGAATCTTTGGTTTTAACAAATTTATTAATGATTGCATCAGAAAGGTGGGGTGAAAAAACGGATACAATGTTCATGAGAAAGAATCTTTGACAGCTTTACATCACACTCTGTGTTGAAAGAACAAAACAAAAAACGGAAGGGATTTAACGCGTCTACTTCGACTTCTGGTTGTAACGCTGAATTCCATAGACATCTACAATCCCAGGAGGGAAGACGGGATCAGTAGCTGCTCTAACTGCAACGTTTGCCACTGCTGTAGCATTCACTGGAGGAGTAAAGAGAGGCCCAACAAGTGGCAGCTGGTTCAGAGGTCTTGTGTGTTGGAACAACTGCCAGTAAATTCAATATGAATTAGTTGATATAACTTTTCACAATCAAAAAGAAATGAATGTGAATCAGTTTATAACATGGGGTTTCTTAACCTGAGAGTATCTCTGTTCAAGAAAAAAAGGGGCCAAAAAACCTTGTTTGGGACTAGTAGAAATCGGCTGAGAGAGATGATTACGATAAGTTTCTGGATATTTTATATCATGTTCCCCTTTTCGTTAAAATCTTGCTAAGTCAGGTTTCAGGCGAAATATAAATGGGGAACTACATGTGGAATATATGAAGAACTAGCACTTTACCATCTCCAGTGGAGAACCGATTACTCCGAGAGGTAACTTTACGCTCCCAACGCTTCGAGTCCCATAAATAAATCCAGGCCTCAAAATCACTCCTGAAAAGCGCAAGTAAAATTTCATGTAATAGAAGATTCCATTATTATACAAAACATAAATGGTCCCTATAACTAATACTCTAGTCACCCGTGATTGGTTTCAAGAAACATAGTAAATTAATGTTTTTAAGAAGATATTGATTGAAATTAGAGGGACAAGATATGTAACAAATTGTTAAATTTCCAGGCAAGTTTATTAATCTCTCAGATCTTAGCCATTTATCTGATAAATGAACAGCTAGGTATAAGATGTTCATCTGACAGAGTAAGAAAGCTCACCTCCATAAGGGAATTTGGTTAGTAGCTCTGTTTCTGCAGCTCTCTATATTGAACAAGATGCAGCAAAGGAATTTGTGTCAGATAACATTAAAAACATCAAAAATTGTTCCCAGCAAAAATACTAGAGCATGGTGAAATGGGTACTAGTAAAAGACAAACATTTATTAAGAAAAGAGTCCCAGCATTAAAATGTCTCGTACAAGTAAACTTAAACAAAGCAAATAGGTTGCTATCATTTAGTATGGTACCTTCCCCTCATAATATCCTCGCAGTAAGTAATTTACCACACCAAAATCAGCAGCAGAGACATACACAAATCGTTTCACACCTGCAGGATCAACGGCAATAGTTTAATAGAGGTACTAAGGAAGTTGCCAATAGAAAAATGAAATTTGAAACATATATGAATATATACCTTGTTCAGAAGCAGCTCTAATTGCATTTAGATTAGCAGTCCCATTAATCTTATACATGTAAGAATTGGAGCCAAACCCACCAACACAGGATATCTAGGACAAGAAAACTCATTAGGAAGACAAATCAAAAATATCACCCAGGAAAGAAAGCTAAGTGGCAGGATAAGTAAGAGAGAGTTCTATACAATAAGCACATTTTGAACTACAAATGGAAGGAGGGAAACAATACATTACATGGATAGAGAAAGTGTCAGTGTGTGCATGTGCCTTTGCTACGTATTGGCTAATGACAGTCAAGTAAAACAGAGCATGAAGAGAATGCATACAACAGACGTGACACCATCGAGAGCATCCTTCAATGACTCAGGTGATAGAAGGTTTCCTGGAAAAGGAAAAAAAATTTAAGAAACTGCTACCCAAAAAAGAGTGAGGTCATCAAGAAAAGACTACACAAGAAAGCAAACCTTTATGCCAGGTCACATTGTTGGCCCATGGATCATGTAATGATGACCTACCAGACCTGAGAAGGAAAATAAGAAAGCATTAGGAATAAGATGGTATTCAATCAAACAGAATAATCAAATATATGGAGATAGAAGTGTAGTATTTTCCTCTTAGTAAATAGGCAGCTACAGAATTATTATTCCCTTCTTATATAGAAAGCATTCAGATCGGCTACAAGCCTAAACTGATCAACGCTGATGAATAATTCCTAAGCATCAATAGGTGAAGCAACTTAACAATTATATAGAGAAAAGTCATACCTGCTAAGGCTGGCAACAGACAATCCACGATCTAATGCCTCTCTACAAACATGTGAGCCAACAAATCCATTTCCACCCAACACAAGCAACTGAATTAAGAATCATACAAGTTAAAGAAAATATAATGGCTCAGAGATGGATAAAACGAAAATATAGACGGAATAACAGTTCGATAGTCTTCACAACAAGATAGTACCTTCTCTGTTGGAGGAGGGGGAATGTTTACAGTCTCTGCTTCCTCAACTTTGAAGGGTTCATCAACCTTACTAGAGTCTGTTGAGAGATACCTCCCATTCCTGGGTGCATCCATTATACTGAATTTACAGAAATGAGATATTTGAAAAACACAATACAGGAAATAATCATTGTTAGAATCCTACTAGATTCTGGAAACAAATACATTCCAAAGAAAAATAAACATTAAAAAATATCAAGGAAACATTAGCTTGTCAATTTCCACCCACAAATTCAACAATGTAGGAGAACCCGTGGCAGTAAATAATACGAAAACAGTAAAGCGTATCCATGAACCCAGATAATAAATTATTGTCAAGCAAACCCAAAAACTGAATTTAAAAATGAAACTTAATACTCTAAGATCCCAATCAATCTGTTTAGGGTTTTCCATTATTTTCCCACTCTCTCTCGACAGCCAAACATGGCATTACAATATTCGCGAAACAAAAACATCAATACCCAAAAGAATCACATTTCAAAGACCAAAATACAATACAGAAGAAACTGAGTATGGATTCAAAGCAAAGAGAAATAGAAATCAAAACATACAAGAGCCTGGGAAGTGATGATCTTGAATGGATCAACCGCGACACGACCGTCCTCATTTTGAAATTCGCTTTCCAGAGTCTCTCTCGCTTTTTCTAGGGTTCCTTCAAGTTCAGTTTCTGGGAGAATGCCTGGAGCACAAGTAATCGGAGAGTCTAGCTCCTTCTTGCAGAGGACGGGTTTGGTTTAGAGAGAGTGAGAGCTTAAGAGAAACAGAACACATGGCGCGTAATGGTGGAGACAAGTGGTTCGTTAAAGGCCTAGGGACGTTGCAAAGGGACAAGTCTAGCGTGTTAATCTAGCACACCGCAAAAGCTGTGTTTCACGTTTCATAAATGACGTGGCGCTTTTTTATTTGACAAAATAACAATAGTTCTTTTTGCGTCCTTGCATTCGAAATCGATCCTCATTTTCGTACATTTGAGTAATTTATAATAGGTTTATTTACTGTAGTGTCCCCTAAGAGCACTTCCATCCATTTATCATGGCAAAGGTCAATGAGCAAAGGGCAAAGGGAGGTAAGGGCTATTACTATTCACGTGAATAGTGGCAGCCCTTATAAAAGGCTTGTGGTGTTTCCACCCATTGTCATGGCAACCACTATTCACATGAGATATGAGGAGAGGAATTTGTATAGAGTTTTGGTGTGGGAAGTGAAAAATATGACTGAGTATTTATTTTTTTTTAAATTCTGAAAATTTTTAGTTTTTATTTTAAATTTTTTAAAGATTTTTTAAAAAAAATTTGGTTGCTGACGTCATCGCTTACATCAACAAACCCAAGCTAGAGCAAGGACTAGTTTTGCCTAAGGGCCAGCAAATATGACTGAGTATTTATTTTTTTTTAAATTCTGAAAATTTTTAGTTTTTATTTTAAATTTTTTATAGATTTTTAAAAAAAAATTTGGTTGCTGACGTCATCGCTTACATCAACAAACCCAAGCTAGAGCAAGGACTAGTTTTGCCTAAGGGCCAGCCCAAGCTTGTAGAGCCCACCAACTACCCTGGCAACATTTATCCGCTGGAAGCCCTTTTTAGGCCTAGGGCCCTCCTTGCTCAGGCAAAAGGTAGAGCGGTGGAACTGCCCTAAAACTATGGTCAAGTCTCACTTTGCCCCCTAGAAGTTAAAGTGAGCCACTTTACCACCAAAGTTTAATGTCTCATGTTGCCCCTTATCGTCAACTTCATCGAAAAATCTATTTCTTTTGATGATGTGGCAGGAGTATATTTATAATTTCATAACACGTGGATCATTTATCCACCAATATGAGTGACATGGCAAAGAAAATATCGTTTTTTTCTTCTTCTAATTTGTGAATTTCTACTGCAGTTTTGATTTTGAAGTTTAATATACTCATTGTTGAAATTTAAGGAACTTTGACTCCATTAAAATTTTCGACCAAATTAGGAGATGTGAAGTGTCTTCAACATATGTCCCTTATATATGCTAATTTCGTCAAATAATTGAATAAATCAACAACTAATGAACTAAGTTGGTCTATGCTTGAGTTATAGGAACGAAATTTGACCTGCCTTCTTTGATCTCTTGTATGTATGGGTAAATTTTGGGAACACATTTCACCAACCTATTATGAGGCGTCACGTGGACAATGGGAATATTCCTTAGGTCAACAATTGTCTATGTTGCACGGATACGGATACGGGGATACGGGAACGCAACACGGCGACACGGAAAATCTCAAAAAAGTAGGACACGAACACGGCTAGGACACGGCAATTAAAATAATAATTAATTCTCAATAT